TTCATTTGGATAACTTTCATCCGTATCACGTGTCAGTACATCAGAAGCTACATGGACGAGATTTTGAGAAACGCATACAATTCTCTGTTTGGTTGTGCGGCATAATTGGTCACCAAATCATTGGACTGTACTTCATTGAAGGATCATCAACAGGTCAAACATACTCCACATTTTTGTCCGAAGTACTACCAGGCTTATTAGAAAATGTACCATGTCTAATACGTCAAATAATGTGGTATCAACAGGACTGTCTAGCACATTATATCCAGCATTTGCGACAAATATTAAATAGGATGTTTCCTAATTGTTGGATCGGACGTGGCAGTAACATTGCTTGGCCAGCTCAATCGCCAGATTTAACACCGCTCGATTATTTCCTTTGGGGAACATTAAAAAATGAAGTTTATCGCGAGCGACGAACGACGGCCGAAAAGATGCGAGAACGTATTATTAGTGCATGTGCCGCAATAACAGCAAAAACATTAAAAAAAAAGTTCCTCGTTCACTCAAAATCCGATTACGCAAATACATTGATTGTAATGTATAACACTTCGAACAGCGCTTGAAAGAAAACTTGTTTCACACATTATTTTACGAATCATTAATTTTAAACCCTATTTGGTGTAATACATTTTTACGGAGAATTTGGTGCTTTATTCGATTTCGAGAAAAAATATTAGTTATTCCATTTAAAATTGAAGAAGACCCTCATATCTCGATAAAAAAAGCGTGTACTATTTCATGTGTATTGAATACACTTGTACTGTTTCACGTATATTTAAATACGCGTATACTATTTCACATATATTTGAATATATGTATTGTCAAAAATCTGATAAATAATAGATACCGGGACATGTGTTAGAGAATTTTTCCGACTTTTTGGTTGTCGAAATCCTAATCGTGAAAAATGACAAAATCTAAGAAATGAGGAAACATAAGAATTTCTTATTGAAAATTTAAAGCGATTGCATTTATACAATAACAGTAACAACATATTGTCATAAGTATTGTCCTAAATTTTCAGATGATTATTTGGTAAGATATGTCGTAGTTTTAAAAATCAAAAACCGATTTTTTCCACGTTTTTTCACGGAAAAAAACGTACACCAGTAGTTTGCATTTTTTTTACAATTTAAAGTATTACTACATTTATCAGAACAATATATAAATTAAAAAAATTAAACATACTTAATTAAAACTTTGTTACAACTTTGTATGTTAAAATATTGACGTTACTCCCAAGAACACCGTTGGTGTAGTCAGTTAAGCGTCCTACAATGGAACTGCAGAGAAGTTTTTGGTCATGGATTTGAGGCCTTGTTCATGTTTTTTATTACAAAAATTATATACTTTTTAATGTCTAACTAAATGACAGTGAATAGTATGATTGTGAAGGATGTAGGTAGGATAAGTTAGTCATACTGTTAAGGATATTATGAGGACGAGATTTATGAGGTTCTTGTGTTTATTATTAGAAATATTCAACCCTACGAATACAACGCCGGAGTCATTGATGACTCGCCGGGAGAGCGACACGCACACAGTGACGGCGCTGTTCGTGTAAGTCGAAAAGTGACGGAGTGTTTGTTGACATGGAAACGACCAGGCTGAGATGCTGCAGAAATATTGACTTACATCTTGGGCTCATTCCCTATTTCGTTTTCACTCGCTCTCGAATGTCGATAAAATGATGTCGAATGTCGATTGTCGATGGCATCCGCGTGGAGTCAATTGTTATTTACCATTATCGCTGCCTGATGTATAATTGTCTCAACTTGAGAAAATGTACACTCAAATGAATTCAGAAATTTCGATATTCATGGGTCAAGTATCGATACAATGATACATCGTCGTATTAAGAATCGGTACAAAATATCGACATTCCGATATATCGATACTGTATCGCCCATCACTAGTAGGAACAGCAATGTGACAATATGGAGCAGATTTGGGCAGAATTTTATTTGAATAATACACGGTAAAAAACAGAAATATACGAGATCGTTATCCCAGTTTTGAAACCGTTAATGAGATTAAATACTTCTTTGCCAAGTGTCTACTCTTTCGAGAAGAAATATTATTTTATTATTAAAATTAGAATGTCCACATTTAATCGAATAACAATGACGGTAAACTTTTATCATCTTTAATCCATTATTCGAAATTCTGTCGAGGTAATGAATTTGCCCATTTCTATATTTATGGAGGGCGACCAGAGAGTGTGATGTTACGAGAAGAATACTTTATAAGCAGTTATTCACATGGTTGGAAATCATGTTCGTAACAGTTGATTCCTGATAACTTGCTAAGTTTAAGGTATGGACCACTTGGAAAATACCTACATGTTATAATTACAAACACGCTATACTAATGTGCCAAATATTTATGTACATAAATTGCAAATTGTAAATTGGGGAATTAAAAAAAAGGATATTACAGAATACCAATGGTTTAGAAAATCTGTGAATGAAGCAGCACCCGAAAACGAAACTGGTTGCGAATTCTGGTTTAGATAACCGGTAGGCAAAATGGACTTATAACCTTGACAGCTTTTCGAAACAAGAAAAAAATGTAATACAATTAATATTCACATACAATATTTATCTACATTACCAAGTTTTTAAAACAGCTTCGATTGTAAAGTTCTACGCAGCGTTTCGTCTTAATTTTTTAATCATACGCTTGCTGTGCGTCAATTGAATCTAACTCAATAAGTGAATGCCCATCATGAATCGGGGTTTCATAACGAAAGTTTCCTCAATATCGAATGTATCAGGTCGTCAACTAAGTTTTGCGGACTGTTCGTATATGATGCTGGAATATACTGAGTTTATATTTATCACGCCGATTCTCGTTTGTTCCTCGAAAATTGGCCATTTTCCTGTAACAAAATGGATCGACAAGTTCAATCCTATAGCGAAAAGCATTTACTCATTTCGATTTCAAATGACATTCCACAAAGAGCATATCTGTCGTTGTATTTTGGTGTTCTATAATGTGAAGAAAATTACAGCAGAAACGAAACCATTGAGAGACAAAAAAACAATCAGCATGTGCGGCTCGATATTCACTTGACTTTTGAGGGCGTACATACATATACGCCTTTCACAGTTAAAGGGTTAAATCAGTTTCATTAATCAATAAACAGCTACGTACTGTAAAGCCGGGTACTCACCAAGCGAGCGAGCACGAACGAACATTCGGTAACGCTCGCAAGGCCTCGCTCGTGTTCAACTGAAATACTCGTCCTACGTCCATACTGGTACGAATTCATTTCTGTTCACAATTGATCCGAACACTGACCGCGAGCAGATTGTGAAAATTATTACTATTCATTAGAATAGGAAGAAATTACTTTGTGCAAATGCTGCTTTTATTGTGCTAAAGTTAAGCGCAAAAAATAAAAACGAAGAAAACAAGATAAACGATGGTGGCAAACTTCGCTGTTTAAAAACAGCCAACGGTATAGTGGAAGCCATTTGTTGAGGGACTTGCAGGAATAAGAAGGATATGAAATGTTCAAAAATTTCAGCTGAATGTCGACCGATGATTTTTAAAAATTGCTACAACGTTTTCACCCAAAAATAATGAAAAGGTACACAAACTGTAGGAAAGATATTCTACGATTCCTGGCTACAGTAAGCCTCTATTAGTTTAATAATGTTTTCATTAGACCATACGATTTTTATTTTACACGGAGTATTACGTTCTCGGGCAGAGTAATCGAATGCAACAGATAACCGTCTATATCAGACGAGCGCAAACAAAGTCTTTCTTTTGATGTACCGACACGAGTCGGATCATTCAGCGAACAGGAGCGAGCGAGCATTCTCACTCACTGCTCGTTTGGTGTGTACCGCTGAATAATCCGATTCGTGTCGGTACATCAAAAGAAAGACGTGTTCGCTTGCTCGTGCTCGCTCGCTTGGCGAGTGCGCGGCTTAAGAGGCAGGTTTTCTGAATAAAATGGGACCTTGAACGTGTCAACTAGAGTAGTAAATTTTTTTATTTGCTGTGAACGCTGTTGAAAAATGTCTCGAGAGAAACATATTCAAAGTTTGACATTCTAAGCTGCTGAGCTCAGACGTCGCTTCACGCAAATGCAGTACCTCCGTCAATTTTTCGAATTTTCCCCAGAAACTTGGTAAGAGTATTATTAAAACGCGTATCTTTCAAAATATCAAAAAAATATCAATTTTTTCAAACATTTACCCTGTTCTGACTCCTTAACTTTTTCGTGCCCACTGTAGTCCATTAGCTACATGTTTTAAATTACGAAATAAAATATTAGTATCGCGAATTTTTTTATATCTGTGAGTCTATAATACCTAGTTTCTTCTAATTTTGTACAGATTATACAGCGCAGATTTGAATGTGAATTTAAAAGTTTATCGATAAAATAAGATATTATTTGTCCTCTGTCTGCTTCATTTGATGGAATTCAGGTGTTGAGCATTATTAAACATACAATAGAAACTTACGAAACCCCAATTTCTTTCAAGTATTTCAAGAGTGTCCATTGATCGAAAATAAGAAAAATTGGATTTCATTATGTATAATAACAATTATAATGTGAATTACAGGAAATTGTCGATGAGTATTTGAAGGCTCCACGGCACTGACAAGGAGAGGTCCCCAAGTGTGACGCTGACTTTTTAATAAGGTTTAGCACAGTGATAGAGATTGGAACTCCGAAGCCAATGATATTTCTTTCAGCCGCATATGGCCATTAGTTTATGAAATATTTAATGTTCAGTACCGAGGAACCTTCGAACACTCATCAAGCATTTACTGCATTATATATGTATAATACATGAACAATTAATGAATGAAAAAATGACACTAAACGGTTTCAAAATGTTCAAATGTTCTTGTGAATCATTCATATTGTCATGTAATATACACAAGAATAAAACAAAAGAAAAATTATTTCTTTGGTAATTTTTAAGTAATTTGGAGAACAACAAGGGTTAACAATCTGATACTTCACACTATACCTGTGCGTTCATGCCACCCTGACGGGAGTTCGTAGCGCCCCCTCCTTTCTTTTCATCCCTCGCTCCCCGCACCTGGTTGAGCCGAAGCGTCACCCTCGGCGAGCTTCCAGACTGCCCGGTTCCCGATCTATCGACTGCAGAGAACAAAACACTGGTTAATTGCAAGAACAACGACGGAATGCCAAGGAACGAGTTTCCACGAAACCAGGACTCCTTTAGCACAGAGGGAAGAGTGAGAACAGGAACGAAGGAGTCGGAAAGAAAGAGGGGAGAGAGAGAGAGAGAGAGAGAGAGAGAGAGAGCTGGTTGTGATCATCGGGGAGTATAGGTCGTTAATCATGAGATTCTCGGGAGAACGAGTTCCTCGAGAAGATTTCAGGTGGAGTAGGGGATCCCGATCCGCGATCGATTCATTAGTAACCTTTTACCGAATGATCGCATTACAGGAAGGCGTACCTATATATGCTATTACACTCTCTATTCGCATCGTCACGGACTGCGGCTACCAAATTGCAAGTGGAGGGATGAACTTTAAGCTTAGGGATGAACCGATCCACGTAAATACAAGTAAATAATCAATACTTTCGTTTCGATACAAATAATTTTTAGTATCGATACTTTCGCTTGCGATACACATATACTCGGTATTGGAAATAAATATTCACATCGAATGGGGCGAGTAATCGATATGAAAGCTAATGAATGTGAAAGTGGTTGTCATCCAGTTATATTACGTTGCTAATAAATGTTCATTAATAAAATATATCTTCGTTAATATCAGAAATGGGCAAAATCATTGTCTAGATGAAAAGTTTCTGTTGAATATAATCTTTAATGACAAGATAATAAAGTACAGAATAATGTTTGATTATTCGACCTGAACAAAACACACACGCACGTCTCAAAAAGTCGGAGGCGGAAGAAGGAACGTCTCACAGAAGGGCACCGCAAAAAATGTACGAAAAAACAAAAGATACCTGCGGTGCCCTATTCACATCTGGCATCTGGCGCGAACAGAAACACATGCACCAGTCGCAAAGCATGCTAAACACAAAATACTCAATAGTTTCAAATAACGAATAAAAGATAAAAACATACTTCCTCATTTTTAATCGTTTAACCTTTTCAGACCTGGTGGTCACATTTGTGTACATGAAGTTTCTTACAGTTTCACACAAAGCCTTAGGTACAGTGTGTTGCAGACCTATATTTTTCTCATAAAGTTGTGCAATGTACTGTAAATTTATCTACTGAATTCAGAATTGAATAATAAACCTTTTTTTAAAACAATTAAAAAATTTTTTTAAACAAAATATCGAAACAGTCCACTGAGTTAAAATATGCAAACAAATATATTTTTTTTGCTCTTAAAAGAATATTCAGGTCTGAAAAGGTTAAATGTGGGAATTCCAATTTTTATAACAAAATAATATGTACTTCTTTCGGAACGTATCGACACTTGGCAAACAATTATTTAATCTCATTAACTGTTTAAAACTTTTCACTATGTATTATTCGAATAAAATTTTGTTCAACTCTGGTTAAAATATATTAGATTAATAAAAAGGAACTTTGTATTAATTTTTCATCGATACAAGTAGGTATCGATAATTTTGATGCGATACTCAACAGATATCGATATTTTTCTCCGATACAAGTTATAAGTGAAAGTATCGATACCTTGACGGTATCTGTTTATCTCTAATGAAGCTTACCGACTGAAGGATTAGAGTACCACGTTGCTGGATAATTACTTATTGAAGTTTATGTTCGATTAATGATTACAGGGATGCGAAATTTGATTCTTAGAGGCAATTCTCAGTTATCAAATTTTATACACCACCCATCCCTCGATTTCTACGCGGTAGAGCCATTCCACGAAAAGTGGTGTAATCGAAACCTTGTAAAACAGGACACATGTTCAACTAAACTTTTGACCGTGTAGATCATATCGACGAATATAGACAGAAGTCGTAAATATGTTCATAATAATTGTGTAAAATGAGGCAAGAATTTTATGAAAAAAAAACGGAGATAGTTTTTACAGAATGCTGAGCCTCGTAGTCACGATATTTATTTCAATTCATTTATTAAAATAAAGAACACACGAACATAAATTAACAATGTTCCATAACAAAAAAAAAAAAACCCATCTTTATTCTTCCAATTTGTTATTTTTCAGTTGCGATCACTGTACAATTGTAGGCCCGGAAAGTAGAACCGACGCACAGTGGTTCGAATCCTATATGCTAGCTGGACATAACCATTTTTTCGCGGTATTAATTTTATATGGGATTGTAATTGTTAGAAAACGACCCCCTTTCGTATCACAGTTTATTATCTCACTAAAAATATTAATAACAAAAAAATATGAATAATTAAATGAAAGAAAAAAACAAAATTATAGTATTACACTTTAGCTATAAAATAAAATAAAAAGGAAAATACATAATAATCAATAAATACTTAAAAAATAAAAACAAACATATAACTTAAAACAAACTAAAAAGGAAAATAAACAATAATTGTACAATAGCCTACCTGGACTCATTTTAAGTGAAGTTATAGCCTGAAGTGTAATTCTTTAAAATTTTACGTAAATGCACTTAGATTCGTCTAAAAAATTTTAATTTCCTTTTAGATTTTTCATAATTTTTATGAAAAATAAAATGGTTTATTCAACATACCTGATTATATTGTTCAACAAATTTTAACTGTTTTTCGTTTTTCAATCGCCAATAAGCGTTTCTGATAGATCTTAATGAGCTAAATACGAATTTGGAAACTGTTTCTTTCCAGCACATCCAATTTTTGAAAAAATAAAATTTGAAAAAAATTGCAAATTTTCAACTTTGGAGATGTGTTGTGCTTTTACAGTAATAGTTATTCAGTTCCTTTTTACGCGTATTAATTCTCTGGACTCTTGCGAACAAAATAATATAAATTGTTATTAGATTATAGACATGTAAATATGTTTAAATAATGTTCCAAGTGAAAAGCACACCGAGGATGCACCACTTTTTGCTGATATTCTTTAATTTATTTCAAAAACTAAAAGTCTAGGAGAAAATCTAACCATAGAAAGCGATAGAGCAGAGTTTTCTGCTCAGGACAGTGTCAAGGAAAGTTACAAAATCTGTTTTGTTCTAAATAGGGAGGCGAAATAGTTCAGCAAAACACACGGCGCCTACAGTGGTGGCCATGCGTGTCCAGCGCTTCCGTTAGTTTAGCGCAGGCAAAGCGACCGCCGTTATTGAGTACTAATTCTTGATAAACAGCATTTAACAATGCTTCCCAGAGAAAAAAATCTAATGGGGTTAAATCTAGAGAATACGGTGGCCAAGAAACTAGTCCTCCACGTCCTATCCATTTATTTGGGTAAAGTTCGTTCAGTGCATCTCTTACTCTCCGAGCATAATGTGCTGGACACCCATTGTGCTGTGACCACATCATTTGACGAACATACCCACTAGTACCCACTACACCAGAAAATATGAAACAACGGATAATTGCAGCATGTGCTAGGATAAGTTCAGAAACGATAAGACATGCACGTGATGCAGCGATACGAAAATTGCAACTTTGCAGTGATGCAAACGGTCACCACTTCGAGCATCTCCTGGAATGTAAGAAAGTTTATTTTACTACCACATTTGACCTTGCATGACCTTCAATGATAGCTCGCTAAAGTCGTCTCAACACCAGCTATCACATCACGATAAAAAAAACATAGCATTCCATTAAAAAAAATAGAGAGTACTTTGAAATCTCCTCTATGCCTTCATCCACGCAGAAAATGTTTGTGTCAGAATATGCCCCCTCTATATCGTGTAAGTTTTGTATATAACCTTTTTTTTTTTTTCATATTATTACAAATAACGGCAATATTCAAAGTGGACCCAAAATTATTTCCCCACCCTGTATGACACGGGCGTGAATGTTAAGATTAACTTTAACAGTACATATGGTTTTGCAAAGTTTTGCAAGTCCAATTTGCCATTAAAAGAAACTAGAAAGTCTCTACTTTTCGTATATTTAACTCTTGTCGCGTGGATCGACGTTGGACATATATTAAAACATTGACAAATCTTTACATAATGCAAATTTCTAACAAGAATGTATTACTTGATTCGAAGTATGATTTACAAAAATACAAAATAGTTATTGATAATTTAAGGTTATTAAACCTAAAATACATACTTTGAGATGCTCTATCCATCATTAATTTAAGCACACCTTAATAAGCTTACAGAATATTTCTATAGATGCCTGAAAACTGATCGACTAACTACCGCTTTATTGTCTGCCTTTAAAGCGTGGTTTGCCCACTCTGTACACATTCAAAAAGAGGATTTAAGGTGTTATTATGTTATATTCGACGGTATTATAAAATTTATAAAAATTTTTCAAATCGAAAATTTCGTCGATACATTTTTACGGTAAAACTCGAAAACGCGGTAACCGATTTACACTAAAATATAATTAAACAAATGAAAGCTTTGCAATATTTTGTTAGACTATTGTCTTCGTTAAAGTGTACTGAATTTACAATGAAAATTTCAAACGATTTCGTTCATATTTGGCCGACTAATCGCGAGTTATATTTCTAAAAACACCGATTTTAATTCGATAAAAATTCTAGTTTTTAATTTTTATGTTAATAAAAAATGATCGTATAAAAAAGTGACAGAAACAAAAAATATGCATCGAGATGCAATACATATGCTGGTCATTTTTTTCTTTTTTTTGCGCGTCGCGTTGGTTCTCTGCTTTCCGGGCCTTCAAGTTGTATACACAAGGGTAAACTAATCGACATAAAACATAGAAAATATTCCTTTATTTTTTAATTTATATACCATGTAAAAGCGAAACCGTGTCAATCGGGGAATGGGTAGTCTTTTGTACCTTAATATTGTATTAACGGTTAGATAATTGAAATACTGAAAACTGGCGTATACTGGATGAGTCATTTAAATCAATCCCCGTGAATAACTTTGAGATCGTTAGCAACACCGAAAAATGTTTCAGATAAAACTTTAATGGTTTTAAAGAGGAAATAATTTGATGTAGGTACTTTTTTGTAAGTGCAGTAGACTCTAACTTTAATGCCACTGAAAATAATGCCACATGAGTA